CATGATATTTATGTTTCTAAACCTCGATTAAACTTCGTGTACGTGGTTAGAAATGGATACGTTTCTATGAACTTCAACTTGTCATTTGAGCGTGGGGGACAATTCTCCGTATGCAAGTGTCAAGACTTTTCGCTCATTCACGACAAGAACTAACGAGTTATTCATTAAACCTCTTTTTTCCTTTGCAAATCTCAGTTTTACATGTTAATAGATGGGATTTCTGCCTTTTGCAGTTGTGAACCGATCGCCAAGAAACAAATAAGCTTAGACCCGCTGAACATTCACTAACGTTTGTTTGACAGCGCAGGTTGGCAAAGCTCACCCAAGCTGTCCGTGATCGAATAACTGCACCAGTTTATTGACCAGATTCACTTAATACACTATTTAAGTGCCGAAACAAAGCTCCACGACCGAATCGCGGAGTCGACGTGAATTGGAAGTGATGGGACCGAGAATTGACGATAGCGACACCAACTCGCGGCAGCAAGATGCAGGGTGCGCTTATAAACGTTGAGGCCAGCCCAATATTGCCGGAGTCTACCTTCACGTGTCCAGAAAGCTCTTCAGTGTGCAAGTTTGTCGAACAAATTTAAGCTCATTGTCTTGCTTCCGCAAGAGCTACTGAATCAACTACTGAATCAGCTACTTGCTTTCCCTTTTCAATGCAGTAGGCTCTGACCACTACTCGACAGCATGATTGCTCTGGAATCGAGATTTCGGAGCCGAAGCTGACGTTGTCAGCCTTTTTAATTGACAAGTGCTTGTAGTTCTGAACTGAAACCGGCAATACTAGTATTCAGCTTATGAGGAAGCGAGTGTCAGTAAACCGCCTGAGAGACCTAGACGACGCATTGTGTTGTGGACACTAACTGTACCACAATGCAGTATTTGCTGCCCGAAGGCTGTGCCACAGACTCTGTGTTGGTAGAGTGTATTACGAAGTATGGAGCTATTACTCCATTCCATGAACCAGGCAGACCACTGCAGAATCTTGAGCTGACTTGCAATTGCAGACGCAATGAACAATCCATTCTCCTCTGGTCAGGAACTTCCTGTGCTACTGGAATTCCGCTTGGACAGGCAAGTGAACTGGCGACAGAAACGCCGAGCGGCCGGAATTGTTGAGTCGTCAAAATTTAAATCCACACAAGGCGTTTTGGCCATCCTGCCAACGCTGTCACTAGTTGCTGTAAGACATCATTCTCACTTTACCGAGCTTGCAGTCATGGCACCGAAGACAGCACTGACATTTGAATTTTTCATGGAGCACGACCAAATTCCAGAGAACCTGTCCATCCTAATTTACACAGAGGAAGAGGAAGTTGAGGATTATTTTGACGCCGAATGGGACGAGGATACTGCTCCAGATTCGCCAGTGTTCTCGGGGAAGACAAGCATTGAGGCTATCTACAGCTCGTGCGCCACGACAGACTCGTCGAGTGTCCTTGGAGGCTGTGTTGCACCAACAACACCAGCCAAGGCAACAACGCCTCACCAGATGAGCAGCACCCCAGTCGTGTTCACGGGGGAGACCCGAGCATCGCCAAGAATGAGTTTCACGACGCCTTTATATCGTCCTAGCGAATTGGGTATCGATCTTACCAGTGGCATTGTGGATCCACGCTTTTGATCGACAATCACCAACTGCTTAGTCGACGTTGCTGTTGTGCGGTAAATGGCTCGCTTGAAGAGCCCGTGGATCGCAGTTCATTATCCATAGTATTGTGTATCACTAGAAACCACTGTTAATGTTTGTAGATCTGAAAGATAATATGGACATTGAAGTGTAAGTTGAAGTTTTCAGAGTGATGGTCTTTGCTCGAGAATAGATGAGCAATAGTATGGAGTCCATACTTATTTCTATTTTTCCACCTTTTTCATGGACCATACTTTTTTATGGTCCATACTTTTTTTTATGGATCATGAAAAGGTGGAAAAAAGAAATAAGTGGCACTAGATCTTCACATTTCTGCATCTGGTCCATGTCGAAGAAGTCGTACGGTCCTGCCAAGAAGATGGCGCCAAGCGCACCATCACCTCATTCCGAGCCTGAAAGCAGTGCTGGCCCAGATGCAGCAATGAACGCAGCAGCTGGAGCGGCAGCAGGAGCAGTTGCAGGAGTGGGTCTTTGGGGGTTCGCTATGCCCGCTGCCAATTTCATCGGATTCACCACAACCGGCATCGCCAGCGGCTCCACGGCCGCGTCGATGATGTCGGCTGCAGCTATTGCTAACGGGGGTGGAGTTGCTAGTGGCAGTGCTGTTGCGGTCTTACAGAGTGTTGGAGCTGTTGGATTGGCGACACCAATCGGCCTAGCCCTCGTTGCTGGTGGAGCGGCCGTTGGCGGCGCGGCATTCCTGATGAAGTCACGCTTGTCCAATCGACAGAGAGAACAAACAGATACAGCGGTGTCTGAAGTTGAAGACGAGGAAAAGAGCGTCTGGGTGCTGGTCGAGATACCGCCTGACTCGGGGAAGCCCGTGATCAGCACGTTCGATGACGACTACAAGGCGCGCAACGCATTCTTGAATTCGCGGGCCACGAGGAAGGCACTGTTCGATCCCGAGAAGCAGATAGTGCTGGAATTTGGATGGGACCATTCGATGTATGAGTAAGGGAGTCATGCTTCGGAAGTCGGACATAATGACATTGAACAGAGCTAATACGACATTGTATATCGACGACATAGTATATGATTGTTTAGCGGTAGTTGCTACGTGTTTGCTTCACTTGTATTGCTGAGACTCGTGCGTACTATCTGCGGCCCACGATCACCGGGAGTTCCGGGACCGGGTGAGGATGAGGGACATTGGAGGATGGTGCGGTATCTTGATTCGAGTTTCTCGAGTAGGATATGAGAACATCAGATTCGAGCTGGCCAATTTGGCCGCCAACGGCCCCATTCGCGTACTTGCTCTACAGTGAACGCCCGCCTACTGCACTGCCTCCATCATGCCGAGCGACGAGACCAAAGAGACGTTGGGTGGAACTGTGAAGCGCGGTGCAGTTGGCGCCGTGGCTGGAGGCGCTGTGGCATATGGGGCTGCTGCCGCTGCAGGACTCACGACGGCCGCTACCACTGTTGCCACGGTATCCGTTGCCCCTATTGTCGCCGGGGCGGGAATTGGTTCGGCTCTCTGGGGAGGAATAACGGCTTCTATCGGCGCATTGGGCTTCACTTCGAGTGGCATTGCAGCCGGATCCACCGCGGCAGGAATGATGTCTTCATCCGCCATTGCGAATGGTGGAGGTGTCGCTGCAGGCGGTCTAGTGGCGACGCTACAGAGTATTGGCGCCGCTGGGTTGGCGACGACTGCGGGCCCCATGCTTGTTAGTGGAGGGGCTTTGGCCGGTGTTGGATATTTAGGTTACACGATGATGACAGCCGTACCTGTTGTTACAGCCGTGATAAGCGGGACTGCGGTGGCCTCAACGGGAGCTATTGCTGGTGCAGTCGTTAGTGCTGTCGGAGTTCCTGTCGCCAACTCGATCAAGTCAGTCTTTCGTCAGAGCCCCGATAACAGCAGGAATGGCTGCTGGGTCCTTGTCGTATTAGCGGAGAAGCCAGGAACGATTCGTTTTCAGACTTTTGACAATGAAGGCGACGGACGTGAGGCGTGTCTGTCGACACCAACCAGCAACGCGTTGTTTGATCCTGACGATAATATCGTGTTGACATACGGTTACCGAGACTCGATGCGCGAGGCGGTGGCAGCATTTCGCAATGGGGAATAAGTAGCTGGCGGAGTTGAGGGTATTCTTTGGTAGCGTTCGCTTGCAAAGTAATGTGCAGATGCGTGTGTAAGGAAGGTATGCATCGGGCTAAAAATCCACCCGTTTGTTACTTCTCGTGTCACTACGAGGCGCGAAAAAAAAATGTACTTGAGAATACTGGAGTGATAGTCTTGCCAGTGCATTGCGTGTCTCGTGGACAGAATAGCTAAACGCGATGTTTGCTTATAAGAAATCCACACATACCGTTTGTTGCCCAGGTACAGCATTTTCGCCTTGTTATTTACTGAATTTCAACGACATTCACTCACTCGTACGCGTGACATTCAGTGGTGCTGTTGTCGACAATCAAGCGCCCGCATTCCGCAGTGACGACCCGGGAAAAGCACCCCTCAGCCGGAGATGCCGACGCATACGTTGCTCGTGTCGAACCATTTCCACCACCATGCCGCGAATCTAGCACGGCGGATGCAGTCAGTGCGGAGTGAACGTCATGCGGTTTATAATCAAATCTAAAACCAATACCGTTGCCTTCCACGGTAGTTGACCTCGTGAAGGAGTTTGCAAATTGCGTCACAAGTACGAACGAGCCATTTTTGCCAATGCGATAGCTCACACTCCCGGCAAGAGGGTAATCTTGCATCTGCGAGACGTCTACAGTTTGTATCTTACCCGTTTTGTCAGACTCGAAAGTTGGTTGAAGTGAGGTGACAGACATCTTCGTTTCCACGTGAGTACGGCTCTCGAACCATTGGTCCAAACCATCAGACGAATACATCTGCGTGTTGGTAAAGTCGAAATGCTGCTGCAGGGTGTACACCTTCCTACCAGTCGAAGTGGTCACACTGGTCTTCACAAACAAATCACGAGCAACGGAGGTCCAAAATGCGCTGTTCAGGTTCGTGACGTTGCCATTTCCAGCTCCAGGCAGCGTGACCATAGCGGGTTCAACGTATCGATCCAGGCGCTCCTGAAGTATTTCTACTCGTGTTGGACGTACAGCTTCGGGGTCTTGAAAAACTAATAAATTGCCATCGATCAGCCAGAAAGCCTCGCCGTAAACCACACGGAACGCGACAGCATGAGATTTGCTACCGAGAAACTTTCCGAGGAACGGAGTAAGGTTCAAAATGTACGTGGGTGCATCAAATGCGCCAATGCCAACGATCGGCTTCCACAGATACGGACTCAGTCCTCCAGTAAACACCAATGGGAACGGCCAGACCACTCCTACCACTTGATCATCAACAAGCACTTGAACCTCCCGAAAAGCACCATCAGCGCCGCATTTGGCGCTGGTTATCTCATCAATATCCTCCCGACTAAAGTTGCTACGTTTCGCAAAGTTTTCTGCAAATGCCGTTGCGAATTGGTCCGGTGGATTGGAGTAATAGAACTCGTCACATTGGTGATGCGATAGGAAGAGTTCGAGATACAGCTCTTCAGTATTACCCGGCAACTTCACCATACGATGTGGTGGTCCTGCTTTAGTTGCTGAAGGTTTCTCTGAAAACCATCCATACGACTTGGTGCTGCTCGAAACCGGTACAATTTGATCCGGTCGCTTGACCTCCTTACCCAAGTCAAGAGGACGATAAAACTCGAGCGATAAGCTCACTTTGAAGGTGCTGGTGTACATGGTGTTCACGATGTTATCCAGAGCGACCACCACGGTCCCCCCGGTCCTGAAGATATCTCCATACAATGATATATCTTTCACTACTTCCCAGTTCACTCGTAAATCTCGTGATGGCTCAGCTGTCGACGTCCGTAGCAGCTCCACCCCGTTCACCCAGACAGCAGCAATGCGGTCGTATTGCACCCCAGCATCACAACTGGCCACCCACTTGAGATAAACGACGGAGTAGTCTTCGTCGCATGGTGGAGCATTGAATTTCTCGACGGCTGGATGCCAGTACGAGTTAGCGAACTCGTGCGTCACAAGGGGCAGAACGCATGGTACTCCGCGCACATTGGCGTACGTTGGCCCACCGACCTCGACCGCTCTCTCCACGCTGCTGGTGTTGCGTTGTGATTGGCTCTGCGCCGCTAATAGAGTCACGGCGGCGTCCCATAGACGACCGAGCACCGCTGCCATTTGGCTCTAATTTTTGGTATTATGGATACTGCCAGTATCCATTTATTTGGCTGGAATCAGATTTTATCCGCAGATATCTTCCCTCCCCACCCCCTTCAGCGCCAATTGTTGTGCTGTTAGATTGCGATTCAGTCATCCTATTCGATGAAAACTGATCAGCCCTGGTGGCTCAAATGATCGTTTATTTGTCTCTCAATAAGAGCACTGCGTTATCTTCATCCGTATCCTTCATCGTTTTATCCTGATCTCCAAAGCCGAACCGTTTGGCTGCCCAGTGAGCATCTGGCCATGCCTGCAACGGCATTATTTACTGTCACGGACTTTAAAACACGAAATTCTGAATGCTGGACTGAAAGGGATTTTGTAGTTTTAATTTGGGGCCAGTTGTGGTCACCACTTCAGTTTGGATACTTATTCCCCTACGAACGAGCGATAACTATACCGATGCGATGCATCAACGTGATCTCACCGTATGCCGCTTGAAGAGCGATATGCACCGTACACGCACTCGGCAATTCGCCAACATCTACATACACAGCTTTAACTTTCAACACGATCAATGATCTCCCCCGAGGTGATGCAAGAATTGCTGTCAGTGCTCCAAGTACTGCACTATCTACCGGAGTCTACTCCATCCGAAAAAGGGTGGACGGAGCACGAGAAACATCTTTTCTGGGTTGCACTCGCCCAACACCCGCAAGGCCCCTGGACGACAATCGCCGAATATATCGGAACCAAGTCGGCTCGTCAAGTCATGACCCACGGCCAGAAGCTGCGCCAGAAGCTCAAACGCTGGAATGAGCGTCTACGAAACAACCCCACCACGAACATGCTGATGCACGGAGTAACCGTGTCTACAAGCGCCGGCCTATCAGCTACTGCCCACGTTTCGGTCGAGGCCATGGGACCATCAACTGACACTCCGATGAGTGGTGCATCGCAGCCATTCGGTGTGGATGGGAATGCAGAACTGATGGTGGATGACGTGAGCATCGTTGGCACGGATGATCTCCGCTCCGGCGACTACAGCATGGCGGGACCAAGCTGCATGGTGGCGCCAGGAATGGGCCTGCCATCGCAGTATTCAAGCAGCCTGCCTACGGAGCGACTCACCCGTCCGAACGTCTCTGAGGACACTACCCGTGTCGTACAGCTGATGCTGTCAGAAACCTCTGAAGAATTCATAGTGACGGACTTCTCGGACGACCCAGAGATACTACCTCAAGATCTACTTGACGATCTGCTCGAAATCCTGTCAGATGACGACCTGAACGAGTTAAGCCAACATCATTACCAACCGAACATGCCCTGATGAGCTCACCGCTAGGACGGTTTGTGTTCCGGTCTCTCTATCTGTATGGCGTACATATCGTTTTGCATTAGAATTTAAATGAAAAGAGTGCATTTTAACTGTCGCCCCAGCGTAACATTTTTTTTTAAATGAGATTCCAGACCACAATGTTGAAGGACCAACACTCACAGTAGATCATCAATCATCTCGTTTAGGTAATTATTTATTTTTAAGATTACTTTGTCGTCAGCTTGAAGTCGAAACTTAAAGATCTGTAACGTCGTAGATACTTTCTGAAGATCTGTCACACAAGTTGAAGCAACATTGATATTCAATGGTGAAATGTCGCTTCGGTGAACTGTGGTAACGATGATGCCAAGGCCTCCGTGGAGGAGAGAGTCCGGCGTTTCCCCCACCCTGTGGCTCTGGCGCTAAGGATATTAATGCAATCGTTTCACCTGCATCTATTTACTTGTGTCCGGAGGCCGCGGGATTAGCCGTTGGTATTTCGCGTGCTGGGTGTGCCTACCTCGTCCATTCGAGACAATGACTTGTATTAATCGACTGTCTGGCTGCCGTCGATCGAAACCGCTCGATCTGAACATGACAGCGGACTATCTGGGACCTAAGTATTATACTCTCCAAATTGTACGAAAGGACAGTTGTGTACGGACCCAAAAGTTGGATTTTACGGCCAAATCTCAACCTTATTCTTCGAAATGCTCTAAAAGCAGCCAAAAGTTTTGACACGGATTCTTGCTTTGAGCGGTCACTATGCTGGTCAAAATGCGCGGGTCATTGACGTTGAATTCACTTACACGATGACACATTTACCAATTTGCTGTGTGCCTCGCAGTAATGATATCCAAGAGAGTTCACGATGAACTGATGGCAGTACAGCGAGTTCTACATTATCTTCCGGTTTCGCCATGTACCGAGTACGGTTGGACCCCACACGAGCGCCAACTCTTTTGGATGGCGCTCGATCAATATCCAAGAGGACCCTGGACAGCCATCGCGGAGTTCATCGGTACCAAGTCAACCCGCCAGGCCATGACGCATGGCCAAAAACTCCGCCAAAAGCTCAAGCGCTGGGGCTCACGTCTTCATCGCAACCCGACAGCACGTTCGCTCATGGGTGGTGTCCCTTTGACCTCGCGCTCAAGTGCCACCGTCGTGACCGGCACAAATGTTGCGATATCGAGTCCTCTTTCTCTAGCTATGGCCCCACCAACGCCATCCGGCCTCGGACCTCCACCAGCATTGACACAATCGCCGCCTTCGCGATCGTACACACTCACAACACAGGGTGAGGCTCGTTCCATGCTAGAGGACGAGGGTAGAAGCCTTCAACACAAAACGGAAAGATTCGTCGGTAATAATTGCAGCAGTTCAAGGGCTATGCACGTACAAGGCAATCCGACGAACGCTGTTGTGTCCGGGAGTTCGGAATTCGACAGCCTATCAATGAGTTATAAACCACACACGACGGAAACTGGTCCAGTTTTACCTGCAGATGCTTCAATATATTTCGGCGAGACAAAGAGCGACGAAGACACTGTAGCTGCACGCCCAATCTCCGAACCAGTAATGCCTGCTCGAAATCTGCTCGATGAGTTGGTAGATACGCTCTGGAGTGACCACCTGGGAGAAACGAAGTAGTCTATATGGTTGGCCCTTACTATTAAGATGGAGTCTGGGTTACATACAATTCGTTTCCAGCTTTCGTTAGTCGACCAGTATCACGGATCTATGGCTTCGCTTGTTAGCGAAGGCTGAGCCCAATTTGTACCAACCCACTTCGTGTTCGGCTCACTGCACAATAAGGAGCGCAGATCCTTCTTTATCCTAGGGTAGCCAAACATGCTTTAAGCTGACTCGTGGTAATTTCCCACCGAATATCCACCATCACTCAAGCCTTTCAAACCATCCGGATATTTCGTTTATTTAGCTGGTCGCACAATCCCCCGCCGGGGACGGTAGACGTTGAAAGCATGGACATATATTCAATATACACAATTCCAGTCTCCACAATCCACCTTGTGTAGACGTTTTGAATCAGCCATTCGTCATTCAACGATTTATTGCAGGTGTACATGCACGGTTCTTTCGGGGTTTTGACTCGAAGTCCAAAGCTGGACCAGGCGCAACACCAGCGTGAATATATTTCTACATCGGAACATGGCTGTGAGGTCACTTGATACGGGTGCTTCTCATTGGCTCTTTGTGTACGCAGTCTTCTCCTTTTCCTAACAGAAAGCAGCCTATCCTTCGTGAATTAGGAGGAGCCGCGAAAAGCCATAACTTTCTGAGAGCCGTCGATACTGACACGATTGCGCCTTCAACTGCCACCCGTGGGTCGGATACCTCTAACAAACTGATCGTCTTGAGGTCTTGATGAGCTTCCGTTTTTTCCACTCCGAGCGCGCCTTGCCAAACTACACGACAGCAGCAATACAAATACCGCTCTGCAACGTGTGAAGTGGGGCGGAAGTTCCGAAATCCTCTATGTAGCGGGTTCAGCATAACTCCAGGGACTTGTTTGTGAATCGTATGCATACCGTATGACAATCTCCCAGCAAGAATGTCAGATGCAGACTGGCAACTTGCAGCTTTGATGTTCGTCAGTGCGCAAGAAGGAACCATTTTCCGGACTTTTTGGATTTAAATGGCCAGATATGGGTTGAAGAGCACTTGGTAGCTGGTATTGTGATCTGGAGTTGATTGGGATCCACAATATGGAGTTTGGAAGCCCGAGTCAAGCCACGAGCGTGAAGCTTCTACGAATGTAGCTATGGCTGGTCTGCCGAGTCTTATCCCGCGTGGGTTTCAATACTATCAAGTACATAAATTGTTACATTAAAAACTACCACCTTGTACATATACAATGTTACCTGCCGGAGCATACCGCGCTCTTTTTCGTTCCCTCTCTAGTCCAGTCGACAACGCGAAACTCCAGTTCGTAGTTAGTGGCGTAAAAATTTATGACAGCAGCCTGATCTTTCGGGCTACTACAAACTAAAGGTTTGCTTCAATCATTACGTTACGTGATGGTAACGTCAATGCCCCTGAGTCGTGAGCAACGCTGACTTGGCTGACAAGATGGTAACGCTACTTTCTGCCGCGATGCCGATCCAAATACCTATGATGCGACGCTCGTTTAGTGCCGATTAAGGTGATACCCGGCTCGGCTGGACGATTTGTTGACAGCATGCTCCTGCGATCACTCGGCAATTTACACTACAACGAAGCACCAGCCATGATCTCCCCCGAGGTCATGCAAGAGCTTCTCGCAGTGAGAAGGGTACTCCATTATCTACCGGAGTCACAGTATACCGAGAAGGGATGGACGCCTCACGAGCAGCAACTCTTCTGGGTTGCGGTCAGTAAATACCCACAGGGCCCATGGTCAGCCATCGCCAAGTACATCGGTACCAAGACAACACGACAAGCCATGACGCACGCGCAAAAGTTGCGACAAAAGCTCAAGCGCTGGAACTCTCGCCTTCGCAGAAACCCGGCTGTGAGCTCCCTTATGGATGAAGTCGTCGTCACGGCGAGTGGTAACGTAGCGTTTCCAGTATCAGCTAATAGGACGCCGAGCGCCAATCCATACAACATTTCTCCGACCGGTTCCCTCACTCCGGTTACAACGCCTTCGACAGTACAGCAGAGAAGCGTTAGAGCTCCCAATGACGTTCCAACTGACCTTGAGAGCAAGGACCACGAACAGCATGGCATACGCTGTTCTCCAGAAAGCTATGTGTCTGTGCCAGCTTCAACCGGCCAGGTCCACCACGGACGATATAAAAACCCAGGTCGGCTCCCAACGCGTTTCACATTCGGTCGCTATCCTCAGTCTCAAGGTCCAATATCAACAAGGCATAATTCTTCTGAAGATCACACACTACCAACTTCCATTCCACACGAATTTGTGGATGAATTAGCCAAATCCTTACTGGAAGAAGATAATGCCGACAACGACGACACCAGAAAAGAACTAAAGGAAATTAACGATTAATACCTCATTGATTAGACAATTAGAACTTAGATTCTTAATTTTTGTGTGTGTGTGTGTGGCGGTGGTGGTGGTAAGGGTCTTCTATTTGGGTTCTATCCTATAGAAACCTGATATCCATTAAGACCAGCTAACAATGAGCTCGTCGGTCGTATTGGGATTCCTGCTGCGTCAATGGTCTCGGTTGTATTTTTGAGATAGTTTTCGAATGGATTGTGTCCCTTCACTTTGACATCGTGATAAGTCTGTGTTGAGGTGGATTATTGCTAATAATTTCGCTGCGGCAAGAAATCCTTCAATGGTTGAATCCACTGACTTGCGAACACCACGCCCAAAGGTTCCTCATAGGTGGTGAGGCTTGGCGTCATTGTGTGAATCTTCATTGGCGTTTTCGCTGCAGCTAGGAGAAGTAGTTTGGTTGTGGTTGTTACTTCAGCGATGTTGGAGATTCCTATCCGGAGTATCACCATTGCATTATCCTTTACAGACGCGTTGACTGCAAGATCGACGTTCCCAGCAATGTAGAGAGTCCAACTCATTACTGATTATTTGCAGTATAGTAGCTCCCCCTTTTTTTTTCTTGTGCTGATCTATTGTTGTTTGGTAGCATACCGTAAAAGTCGGCTCAAGTGCGACACCGATTAGCGGTAAAAATCAAGTCATTTAAAAAACCTTACGAGGTTTTTTTAATGACCCTCTTGAGCGACATCCATCCTCACAACCAGTGGCGCTCCATTGTGCAAACTCCCCGCCTTCCACCCCATATCACACAAGCACACAATGAAGCGCCGCCCTAAGAACAAGAACAAGGTCAAGCTGAAGGTATGTAATCGCGTATCACGTACCTCATACTTAATTCGAAGTCATTTTTAATGTAATAATGACAGGGAGTCGAAGCCTCAAAAGCAAACTCTGTAGCCACTGTCGCGGTACAGATGGGCGTGCATCGCTCGTCTGTATACCGCTGGAGAAAGCAAAGACAAAACTAGATGATGACAAGAAGAATAGAAGCAAGTTCTACGTAAATCCAAAGGCGCATGAGGCACAGCGAGTGTTCTATCCTGATTTAGAAAAGAGGTTTGGGCTTTTTCCATTTTTCTAGTTCATATTTTTCTAATCTATTAGCTGTGATGTCTAGGCTTCTTGAATATGTTTCAGCAATGAGAAAAAACCGCAAACTTTGCGTAACTACGAAGTGCTTAATTTTAATGATGGCAAAGTTCGATCCAGCCTTTACTCGGTCTCGCAACTATGTTGCTCTTCGATCGTGGACTGCGCAATTTCTTAAGAGAAATCGCCTTGTGATTCGGCGCGTCACGCACAAGGGATCAAAAACGCGTAACGATATGCAGGTTGGTCCTAATTAGTGGTAGGTATTTTTTTTTAGGACTAACTTTTTTTTTAAAATGTTGCGGATTCGTTTGCGAATTCTGTGAACTTTGCAGTACCAATGGACGGAATCTTGTCTTTTCACACCAATTACGAGAAAAAGTACTCAAGTCTCTTCAACATGGACCAGACGGCTGTCTTTATTGACAACCCCGGAAAATTAACAGTGGATTACTGTGGAACACACAATATTGACATCGTTTAAGGCGCAGCCGAAAACACAGGGCGATGCAGCGTTTTTTTTGTGCGCTTCAGCATCAGGAGTAAAGTTGAAGCCGTTTATTGTGTTTGCGGGAAAACCGGGGTGCCGAGTTGCTAGTCAAGTTACATCGCAGTCCTTTGGTTGCACGTCGGTGGAGCACACAGTACAAGAAAAAGCCTGCTGTGACCATTCAATTATGAAGGAATGGATTTCAAAGGTATATTTGTCTCAATTATTGATTTTTATATTTTTTCTAATTAAGGATTTTCTTTTTTAAATTATTAGATTTGGCGTCCAAGTGTCACCGGGTGCCGCATGCTGCTT